AAGTACGACCAGAACGAATAATGAAAACAAAGGATGACCAGGATGACGAGAATAGAAAGAATAAGTGTGTGAGTGGAACAACATGTATATATAGTGTACACGGTACACACATCGATCACGCGCTGATCACACAAGTGGCCACTCAACAAATGACGTCATGTCATAATCATATACTAGCTTAGCGTTAGTGTATATTCACTGACGCTAACACATCGCAGACGTGTATTGTCTCGATCCAAAATTAATTTAAAAAAGCGACGCCGTATGTATTTTTTGATTGGCGAAAGAAATATGTTATTTGATTGGTGCCTTAACGTTAAGTCATCTCAAAAAGATGACTTAAGTCTGTTTTAACTTAAGTCGTAATTTGATTGGTTAAGTCAGACTTATGTTGCGTAGTGTGTTTGGCCCCTAACTATTTGAACTTTCGAAATTCTTTTCTTTCTACTTTTGATAGAGTATTGTTCTAAAACGATCCAGAATATGAAACGTACACTGGAAAAAAAATTCGACATTACGAAACCGCAAAAGTGTTTCGCGAGCTAAAAAAGGATTTTACACATAGTGCAAAACCTAAAAAGGTTTCGTGAGTTCCACGAAACCCAAAAGTGGTTTAGATGTTTGTAACGAATTCTAAACCTTTTTTAAGTTTCGTAGAAAATTTACGAAACTTTTAAAAGAGTCTCCTCGATCATCCAGTATCATTTTGAAGAGGCCTTAGTGTCTGACGAAACCATTTAGAGGGTTTCGATTTCGTTGCAAAAATGGTTTTGAAAGGCACCATTTTTTTTCAGTGTAGTTAGTATACATGCAGCCGTAAGAAGTTTCTCCGATGAATTTTGATTAGTGCAATAAAAATGGTAAATAAACCGAATAATGATCGTCTTTCAACGAACCAATCAGTCATATTACATTTTTACAATCTGGCTTATTGTTGTGCCGCCAAAATTGACCGTTGAGCAAAGATTTCAGTGTCTACTGTTCGATATAATACGTGGAAAATTCAACTACAAGGCAACATACAGTATCGTGGTGATAATATTCGACCACGCAGAATCCCTACCAACGCCAATTCTTCAGTTGGTCAGTGGATGCGAAGAAATAGCTAGATTACTGCAAAGAAAGTTGCACAGAAACCATAGCAACACAATCATTTGAACGTGCTCAGATGTACAACAATACAATGTTATCTTCATTCAATGTGTTATACAAAAGCGTTTTACTTCAAGTAACTTACATAACAACAAAGGAACAAAAAGAAAAACATATAATTTGTTCGATGCAGCGCAATAACGACGACTGAAATTGACCAGCATTCTCTGATGAATGCTGATTTCAACTTCCCAGAATTAGGATCCGTTGTTGGTCCAAAAGTTTAGAAAAAACGAGATGAGAAAAATTCCTGAGAACAAGCAAGAGATCATAATCTGGGGAACATTTGATGCTAAAGACAAAATATATCGTGTTTTACATTCAGATGTATTATGGGTGTGGGGTGTGGGTGAAGAGGAAAGACACATCCACACCTGGTCACACTCCACAATCAACCACACCCACACCCTTCATAATAACTGAGCCAGTAAAGTTCTAGTTTAAATTGATTTTTTTCAGCGTAATGTGACGTTAAAATTGAACAATAATAAATCAATATCTGTACCAAACCTAGTTCATACTTCCATCGGTATCGATACTCGAGAAATAAGTAATCGCATATTTCAAGCGTTCGTATATGATTTCTTTCGTTGAATATGCAGGCAATTGTAGAGTAAAGACACATGTATACGATCCTAGAAACAAAAAATCCTGCAATTCAATTCATTATTAAAGTAGAATCCACGATAATTTTCCCGATTTTTCAGAGAACAATAATGGAGTACGGTTTCAGTAGTATTTCTTGTTGTTATTTATTACTGGCTAAACAAATATTCAACGAGATCGCATCTCTGAAACCTTCCGTATGGTCCTTGATCATTGCAAATAGCTGCTTATCTATCAAATGACAGAAAACTAAATGAAATATGACGAAGAGGCCAAACATATTCTACTAAATGATGACTACCAGAAACAATTGGTTCTGAACTGAATACGATCATTGAATTAAATAAAATCATTTTTGATTACATGTTAATCTTCCGAAAACTACGATGATGCTATTATTCGAGCGCAAGAAAATTTTATTTGTCTAGAGTTCGATGATTGAAATAAACTTACTGAGAAGAGCTTCATCAGCATTGCCACTTGTTTCCAGACGTGTTATTGTGAAAGTTGTCGAAAAATCTTCATCTATATACGGCAATGTACTTCGTCCTCATACGAAGATTAGAAATAGTTTTCTCTGTTCTTCACTAAGCATTTCACTTAAAACTGACCAAAATTGCTGGATATGCGGTGAAGATTCATCATAATCATCGTACTCTGTATGATTTTTTAGCATTTCAATATCGATATAACCTTTACCACAAACAGTTTCTTCTAATTCATTAGCTGTGAATAAAGTTAAATAAGCCCATAGTACGATACTATACAAATCTTGACGAATAAATTCAATTTGTCAATGAAATTCATTAATACGATATTGACGATAACGCATACAATAATCTTCGAAATTGACAGCAGTTACCGGTATATGAGAACCACATGGAATAAGTTCATAAGTTTGTCCAGTCAAACTAACGACATCAACTGTAAGTTCAGTCATAACACTACTAAAAAAATAGTCACAGTTCTTTTTAACATCGCCGTCGTCACATTCGTTGAGATCTTTTACTTTTCGAATATTTTCTTCCATTTCATTGATAATTGTAAAACTTGAAATATCAATAGCTTCAATATCTTCAATTCTAACTTCTTCGGGTATCAATTGTTTCCATAGTAAAATTGGAAATCGAACATCTAAGTATTGTTTCGTACGTATTGCCATATCCATGCGTTGTCCAACAAAACGATATTGATTTCTAATATCAATTGGTATGGATCGATTTGGTGGAAAAACATTCGGAATCCAACGATCACGAGGATGTGGGTGAGATTCAGTACACTTATAAACACGACCACACCCACACTCACACACCCACACCCACACCCACACCCTGATCTGACCGACCGGTATTACTGATTAAAAAGAATAAAACTCAACGTGACTTTAAAGGTCGAACTTAATAGAAAATTTGTATTTTTTGGATAAATATTAGAGAATTCATCATTCATATTTTCGTTTCAAGTTCAAAAACTAAAACTCTAATGAATACTTGGAAAATAGTTGAAGTCAAATTCACCGATAGATTCATACACAATTGTTCATTTTTCATTGTCATACAATTTATCCTTAAGTTGCTCTCTATGGTACCAAACGCATTTCCCTTACCACATATATGCTAAAATTTGCAGAAAAAAATAGTATCATAGTGACAAATAAAACATCAAGAGATTCGAATTAATTGCTTTTCTAACTACATATAAATAATTCGGTTTTCTTATAACTTTAAAATAGGATAGATTTTACTAGCTTATATACATAAACATCCTTTTCTAAGTTTGAATATTCAGAATTGAGAATAGAAAAAAGAAAAACTAATTGAAATTGATAATATAATTCGATGTTTGCCAAGTTTTATTCTATGATGTTTAATGAAAACGAGGTTTGATTTCTATTTAATTCTTATACAAAATAGTATTGATTTTTCCATTCTTACAGTATGCATAAAAAATTTAAAAAGTAAATCTCCAGAACTCAAACATTTTTTCTAAATCAATACCAATGAATTAACAAAAGACAAAAACTGATTTGTAATAATAATTAACTTTTGTATTCGATAAACAACAATAAATTGAATAGGCTTGAAATTCCATATAGATGGAATAACTTATTGCTTTCTAAACGATGTATCAAAGTTCAATCGATCTTTGAGAGATAAAAAAATAAAATAAAGTGTTTAAATATTCTTCAAACTGTCTGTTTAAACGCGATGAGAAGAAGGTAGATTACTTGCATGATTAACACTTTTAAGTGAAATTTCCACTACGTGAACTTCGTTCAATAAAAGACAAGTGAAGTAGAATTTATTTAGAAATAATATTCATTTGAAAAAGCCATAAGGCGACTATTCTCGTCATTTTTTTTTTAAATGATTTTTCTATGGTGATTTTATTCGTCGCTATGTTTTCTCTTATATTTCTAATTGGAACAGAAATATTATTAGAGGACAGTAAACGTGTCCGCCTAATATTTCATTATAGAGAGACGAATATATGTTATGTAACGAATAATGACTATCGTATGACTTTATGCATATATTGTTACTTCTTATGTTATAGAAATTCTGAAACAGGTAAGATAGTTGTTTTCTCTTCATATAAATCAATTTTTAAGTAAATAATTTATTAAAAAAAAAAATCATCTATATAATTTGTATTCTTGATATTTGTGATTTTAGTTGAAAAACGTGTAAAACGAAAACTTATACTTAACATTTTATTTTGCTTTCTTAAATTCAAATAGTATAGAATGAAAATTTCTTCACACCAGAAATAATTATAGAAATAGATAAAAATTAAAAAGTATTATTCCATAAAATGAATGTTTTGATATATAAATCATGTTTTAAATAATTTGTTATTCTGTTCGTAAGTTTTATCAACGTAAGAAGACAATATTACTATGAAAATTTCATAAATCATTGAAAAACAGGTAAGTTGACCAAGAGTAGAACTAAAGTTTTTGGGAAAGAGACTAATATAAAGAAAAGTGTTGAAATGCTTGCGACTCTCGCTGCTGCCTGCGTGTACAACAAAGTTGATAGTTTGAACAAATGTTGAAGAAGTAGAACGGGACAAATTTCTCGAGGCACACGTATACACTTGAGTACCAAGCAATCTGAATGATGAGGGCGGATAATGGAATCTGCATATCCCTAAAATATATTAGTTTGTTGTGTTGAAATCAATTCAGTGGCAAACCATAATATCCTTGCAATGTTTTATACAGGAACATCTCTCGATTATATTTTTTTTGTGGATCCGAATTCAATATAAGCTATGTTTCTGGAGTTGAATTTCAGCTTGTACCAGAGAAAAAGTAAAAGGTTGGGTCCGCTACTGACCAGGCTTAAGGCTGAAAGGATGTGTAAAGATCCTAGACTCGTACTGCACGCAGTCGGTACTGACGAAATCCTATCACGAGGATATTTGTGCACTTTTCATATTTTTAACGTGGTTCATTGTACGTAATGTAGTAGTTCTGCAGTTGTTATAGCAAATTTTTGTTCTTTCATGTAACACAGGAAGGAGGTCATTCATAAAACGGAATATTTCGGGAATAAGGGAAATAGGTTCATTTTAACAGATTCATCGAGAGGAGATTCTACGGTTTGATTTATAGCCAAGTTTCTTTGTTTGTTTCAAAGCTATATACGAGGGAAACTTCGATCCGACGAGATTATCTATGTTTGATTGATGTGTTGTGGAAAATAAAGTTTAATTTTTAGAACATTTTTCCAATATATTTTCATTGCTAATGTAAAGTCGATTACCTGTACGAATTTGAAAAATTTTGTTTCGAAAATAATTCTCTACTAGAGTAAGCGGACAAAGAAACATAGATGAGTATTTGTTGAATAATTCATTTTGTATGAATATTAACAATAGTATAATATACATATATAAATAGGAATTTATTTGTTTAGATAAAATGATAAATACATTAGAAAATTTGGCAAATGAAATTCTTCTTAATATATTATCAAATTTAGCATGGTTTGAAATGATAGAATCATTTTGGGGAATTAATAAACGATTTAATTCTCTTATTTGTTTGGTATTTTCAATGAATAATGATGGAAATCATAGTGGAATCATTATTAGTGAAATAGATTTATCTTTAAATAAATATCAGTCAATATTGTGTTCAATAAATTCTTACTCAACTCTTTCTGCTTCTATAAAACGAATTCATATTGATGGAGCAAAGTCAATTTTTTTCGATATTATATCTGAATGGATTTTTCAAGAAAATCTTATTCGTTTTGTTAATTTGAAATCACTTATTCTGACTCGATGTTGTCTATCGGAAATTTTAATTAACAATGTATCTTTACTTGTTCAATATCAATTGGATGAACTAATTCTGACAATTGATAAAGATTTTTCTGAAATGTTTGAAAATCAACAAGAATCTTGGGTAAATGATCGTAATCAAGGTAAATTGGAATTTCTTGTCAAATAGTTCATTTTGTCAGAAAAATCTCAGAAATTAAGTATTGAGAACAAATGAAACTTACAGATTTTTATTGAAAGAAAAATAGCAAAGATTTGTTCTTTATTTTCATGACATAGTTCAAAAATTTATAGTCATATGCAAACACTTCATACGTCAACTTTTTTCTTCTGAATGTCAATTAACTTCGCTTCGACTTGATATTTCGGAAGACGATTCTGTTTTTGAAATACGTGAATGTCTTTCATCGTCTGATGATATTTATTCAAATCGAATTTACTATCAACTTGTTACTAACTGTATAACTCTTCGCCATTTACACGTTCATCTTATTTATGGTTATTTTATTGAACATATTATTGAACATGTACCAGTTCTTGAAATTCTCTCAATTAGATTCAGGGATGTATTGGCTCACGAACGATTACACAAGATGCCGTTTAAACAGTTTACCCCAATTGTTGTCAATTGGTATGATAAGGTAAAATAAATGAAACAGACACTAACCATTGTTTAATCAGAGAAAAATATATTTTTGGTATGCAGATCTTCTCAAACAAATTGTTATTTCTGTGCAAAATCATAAAGTTTTTTCCACTATTCCAGACTAATTTTTGGGGTTCAAATCGCCCGACATTTCACTTGTTTTCTTGTAAGAAAAAAGGACGTATTTGACCACTATTAGGAAGGGGAAATATAGGTTATAGGTAAAGTACTAGAGGGAAATGCAAACTTATGCACTTGAAGTTGTGCCACACTGCTTTTAATTTCTTCGAGCTGTTTCAAGGTACTTTAAAGTCACTTTATACTACTTCACGTGTACATTGAACCATTCTAAGCTATTTCAAGCTACTCTGAAGTACTTCAAAGTAACTTGGAGTAGTTCTAAGTACTGACGTAATTCAAAGTATTTCGGTGTAGTTGAAATTACTTAATACTTTAATATATGTCCATATACTTTGCACTATTTCTATGTATTTTGAATCACTGTTGTACTTTGTACTTTTCTACTTTAATTCCACTTTTTCATCCATCGGTAAAGTATGTCTTCCAATTGTTTTAAATCTTTTTGCTTTCATTCTAAAGAAACCTTTTTCGAAAAATTCTTGAATTCATAGTTAACACAATCGTTAATTAAAATGGAAGATCCAAGTTTTTCGTTTCAGCTAAAGAGAATCGTAGAAATCGGACACGATTCCGGCTGAGTATGAACTGTTATCTGTATGAATAAAAATATTATAACTTGTTTATTGAGCCCTTATAAAGAAATGCTTGTTCGCGTAAAGGGTATACTCAAGAAAACTGACTTTGAGAAGATCGAAAAATAATATTTTTGATACAGTAAGCTACTTAATATATCCACAACTGTTCGTCAAGTTTTATTAAACAATGCATATGCGGATATATCATAATGCTCTTCAATCAAAATTTAAATGGAACTATATAACTTGTGGTATAAAGTTACAATGCAAGTTCATAGTTCTCAGATAGAGAACCATCACAAAAACTCATCTTATTTTGACAAAAAGAATTATGCTAGTTTATAGTCAAGTACAGGGACTATCAGCGTATGTATTAATATCACAATCGATTCTTCCTTGAAAAATTGACTTTGCTTAGAGCGAGATAAAAATTGATAAGAAAAATGTAAAAACGAATAGACATATTGTCTGGTCATCGATTAAAATATATTTTAAATTCTCGTTTCGTTTGAAATTTTTGCAACAATTCTAAATCTATTGATAAAGTACTCCACAAAACTTTTCGATCTCTAACAACTCTTTCAAACAACATAAGTAATCAAATATTTCCATGTAATATAAAAATATACTTCATGCACTAATTATCAATAGATAATAAAATCATCTTTGTTATAATACTATTTTTCATACTTCGCACCAGATTTGTTGCTAGTTTCGTTAGAAAGTCTTGTCACATCATACGAAGTCTCAAGAATACTTCAAGTCACTCGGATTGTTAGAATAACCATTGGATGATGAGATAAAAAGACGATTTCATATCGTTGATTCAGTGGAAGTGCCACATCAGGCTATTCGTTTATGTAAGAATCTTTAAAGTTACGATCACGCGATCTGAATTGAAGGCTGCCGAAGACTCATGTGGACTACTGCAGTTTTGAGTCATTGTTATAGGATTTATTTTGTAGAAAAAAGATGTCACATTTAAAGAAACGCATTTTCAAGTAATTATTTCTTTAATTGTAGGTTCCAAAATTAAAATGTTTTATTTTAAAAAGTAAGATTAATGATGATTCGAAGTTTGTATATCTAAAATGGTTTCTTAATAATGTTAATCATGTTGAAAAATTAAAACTTCGACTTGATATAAATATAAAATGGCAAAAAGATTTAACGAAAAGATATTGTTTCATTGATGCAAATTTTATTCGTCAATATTGTATGCCTGATACATCGACAAACTTGATTGATTTTAATTTTTATATTGTGTTCAAATATCATTTACTATCGGAAAATATTCAAACAATAGAAAATTCATTTAAAATTCATGAATTTTTTATTGATCGTCGTTGGATAAATGTGAAATGTTTCTTTAATCCAATAATGACATATCAACATATATCATCGATTAGTATTATTAAACCTGAAGTGTTTGATGGTATTAAGTAAGAAGATTCGCTTTATAAAAATCCATAGAATTTATTTTTATCTTGTAGAGATTATTCGAGTATCTTCGATTGGAAAAATATAAAATATTTAAAGGTTGATTTATATCCATCGATTTATGTATTTCTCAAACAGTTTAACATTATATTTTCTCATATAAATTGTATTCAATTTGATATGGGTAGGTATTGCGTAAAACTTGAGAATTGAATAAAAACTCTGAAAGAAAAAAGTTCAATGAAATCTCTTAAAGAAATTTCGTGTTGGGAAAATTGCTCTATTTCGTTAATAATTCAAATTTGCATTATCTATAGGACGAACAAAATTTGTCACTGAGTCTGAATATTCCACGTTTTTATAATCATCATTGAACGTCTTACAAGAGAAACTGACTCATATTCGTCTCCAATATGTTACAAGACTTGATTTTGGATATAACTTTTGTCGTGATATGGGTAAGTCTTCATTTTCTTCTTTCATAAGTTTGATAAGATCATAGATTAGCATTTCTGTTGTCTTAGTTATTACTAGAGCCGTGCATTTCAGTCATGACACTGACCAAAAAACGTCTCAAGTTATCTATTATAACGTTTGAATTTCTAACTACAAAAAAATATTTTTTAACAAGAGTGTCTTGTTAAGAATTTTTGTAATTTTCAATATCTATTATAAAGTTTTAAGATAAAACATGCTTCAGCTGAACAAATTGCTGATTACTCACAATGACCAGAATTGGTCACGGATCTTTACAATGTCGATGAGTAAATGTGAATTTTCTTTGTTAGAACATACTATATCTTGAAGTTTCATATCGAATATTGAAGAGTACAAAATTCGGAACAAGATAATTACACTTGTAGAAATATCTTTTTAGTTATAGACTTAAACATTACAATAGAAAACTTGAAACTTTTTACTCTTTTTAATATGAAAGTTTTACAAAATATGTATTTTATTTTGTTATGAAAAAATTGAAATATTTCGATGCTGTTAACATAAAATAACAACTAGAAGTTTAATCTTCATTTATTAAACATATGTCATTGAATGTTGGAACTGGTCGATTCTCATCTAACATATAATATTCCATGGATGATGAGAGAAATTTTCTTTTGAAGAAATTTCAAATTCTAAAAAATGTCGGTTCGAATGATCAAACAGATATTTAAATGAAAGTTTGTTGTTGACATAAACATCATGAATTGTTTTTTTCATTTTGTAAATATCCAGTCAGAGACGAGCTGTTGAAAAATAAATTGTTGAGTAGGATTAAAGCAAGAAAAATTTACATTTGGTGATTATTTTTTCGGTTAATAAAGATAAAGGTTAGTGAAACAAAAAATGAAATAATAATAAATGAAATAAGTTATTATTGAAATTCAGAAAGTAAGTTTTAATTGGAGTTTCATCGACGACATTGAGCAGGATTACCAAACCAACGCGTGCCTTTGTCAAGATGATCGCCTTTCATAATTAATGTTAGTGGCTCGATCATATTTTCGCCTTCAAGGATAGCACCAGGAAAAACGAATGAATTTGCTTCTATAATGGATCCTTGACCAACAGTTACGGGAGCCAATTGGAATACACGTTGCTCAAAAGTATGGGCCTAAAAATACAGTAGAAGAATTATTCATCGACTTTAAATTGTACATTTTCGATGAGTGAATTCATTATATAAGATAATGAATCATAAAAGTTGAAGATGATCGTGAGCATTAGATATTTGTATCATTCCTCGCCTTTGTTATCTACTGGTAAGACGTATTTTTATTTTATTTTCGTTCTTTCGCTCTTCTCTTACGCATACAACTTTTCTGATTACTCCTTTCAACCTTTTCGTGCTATGGGTACTCCAGGGGAGCACGTAAGTGATGTGCGAAATTCAAATGGTTACAATGGTAATATTCACTCAGAACACAGAGATGTTATAAATATCGATTCTAATCTTGATGATTATCAACTTGTTTCTCGACATAATCGTAAAAGAAGAAATAATCAAAGCAATCAAGAAGCTTCATCAAATTTGACATACACTCCAAAACGTAAAACAACAGAAGATTTCAGAAGTTTTTCTAGTGAAAAACGTAATATCCACGAAACGACAACAACATCAACATCTTCATATTTTAAATATTAATCGGTCACTTAATAAACAAACGTATGAATCATCTACACACAAACAAATATTTGAATCAAATAGTAGAAAGCAATATCAACGTGATTCATTTCCACCTTTTCGAATTATGTTAAAAGACGATCAATATCCCACAAAAGATGTCACTATTATAAAAGAAATGAATAAAAAATGTAATCTCAATCTTACATATGGTCGCATGTCATCATCAAAAATAAACAAATGCTATGTGCTTTATTGTAGTACATCTACACAATTCGAATATTTGTTGGACAAAACTAAATGGCCTGATAACATATGCGATTGTGATTAAACTTTCGATTTACCTCAAAAGATTCCTGCATCCTATTCGGTTGTGATTTTAAATGTTCCAACTCAATGGGATGTTCAAAGTTTCTGCGACGAATTAAAATTACAGTACAAAACTATCGTTAGAAGCGAACGATTGTACATTCGGGGTGGACGTCCAATTCCTAAAATAGGAATTGATTTTTCTTCAAACAAAGAACTCTTGGAAATACCAAAGAATAAACGAATGCTGCTTGACGTTGGTCATACTTGTCATCCAATCGAGCCATATGTTCCACCACCGAAAGTACTTCGATGCTATATTTGTCAACAGTATGATGATCACACAGCAGCACACTGTCCTAATAAAGATAAACCAATTTGTTTCAAATGTGGTCAACAGCATCAGTACAATCCTGAATGTCAAAATAGAATCTGTTGCGTTCACTGCAAAGGTGATCACATGGCTGGTAATCCTAATTGTCCAAAGAAAATCGATACTCGTGATTTGAAAAAATCACAGGTAAAACCATCATCATCAATAACCCATTTATCGAATAGAAATAGATGAATTGGTAACAGTGCTCTACATCTTTTTGGCAATCCACCAACAACACCCGCTCTAACAAATAATAGCCCTAGCGAAAATTTTCCTTCATTTAAACTTTTAGATACAATTCATCTAAATATACAAAGTATTCTTCAACAACAATTGGATATAAACAAACATCTCAGCGAAGTAACTGCACAACTAAATAGTCAAGCGAAGGAGATGATCAATATCAATCAAGTTCTTAACGAAATCGTATGCCCTCTAGTAAAGGAAGTAACACATAATTTATACTCAAATTAGTTCGCAACAAAAACGTCAAATTGACTCGTCTTACAACAAATTAATCAATTATCTTAATCAAAAAGATTTGAACTGCTCGTTGTCAAATGTATCTTTTGCAAATAATTCACTATCATATCAACAAATAGGACCCAAAGCAATAGTTCGATCAAACGGCATAAACACCAATATGAATAATGAACCCGAATGCTAAAGAATTTTTTCCAAATCATATAGAACCATTTCACTTGTCCTTAGAACAACTATCACAAAAACAAGCAAAAATTTTCAAACAACTTGTCTTTGAGTAGTCAACTACACCAACATTAGATGGTTTATTAAATAAATGGGAGGAAAGAAATAAAAGGACTACCAACATGATGAATGTCGAAAGTAATGTTAAGATTATGCTGCTAAATGTGAACAGTTTGAAATTGTATTTACCAGATATATTTCTATTGCTAGNGAATGTTTTTTTATTGAACATATATCCGCCATCGACCAAAACTTGACAACAGTTTTTGTTTCTATGGTCCAAATATCATCATTTGTTTCTGTTTGATTAGCAGAAAGAATAAGAAAATTCAATGAAGCTAATGTATCATTAATACTATTTGACAGCAAGTACATGTTCCAAATACCAATCATACATTCTGAAGTAATCTTCACAAACGGAATATCAATCATAGGCATTTCATCAGATTGTGTAATAAATATTCGTGTAATGACGCTACCTAAAGTAAAGAATAATATTTTATAGATCTATACTAGCTTCTCTTGTGCTTGCTTGTTGTTTATTTTTATAGGAAACTTTTTGAAATAGATTTTTTTCATAACAAACAGAAAGAATGCTGATGTACTTATGATTAGATATTTTGCAAATGGTCAATTTTGTTTTCAATTGATCTGCTCATTAAACTGTATGATAATATTGAATATGATTTCTTTTTACTTATACTTCAATTATTTGAAAGATTAACAATGTAATATATTACCAGTTGGATCTTCCATAACCAATGAAACTTCTTCGTTCATTTCAGATGTCCATTCGATGAGTACTGTGACTATTTTCGGTTCAATAAATGTTCGACTACGATCAATAAAAACATTATCTCGTGTGTGAATTGTGAAACCAATCTAATATTAAGATAATTACTAACGATCTTCTCAAATAATAATATTAATTTTTCGACTTATATCAAATTGTTTGATTAATTTTGAAAATATACTGGTACGCGAATTTTGTCTTATAAACACTTCAAAATTATCTTGATCATCAACAATGTAATGAAAAGTGTAACCTAGAAATGAAGCCATTAAGTATGTTCATTGTAGTTGATTTTCTCACCTTGAAATACACTCAATTCAAAGACACTATGAATCTACTCGAGTTCAATTGTGTGTATATGACGGTATTGTTGATTCTCGATTAACAGCATATGCGCATAGGGTTCGATAGTTCTAAAAAATTCGTTTACATGCGTTAGTTTACCTTCTGCATGATACATATTTTGTAAATAGAAAGCACCAATAGAGATCATTAAATGTAGACTGATTCAAGCTATTAATTTACCTACCTTCAGATAGGTTCAGGGTGTAAGTGTTCATGCAGAGATATTGACATCCCCACACACTCACAGGGAGATCCACCGTCCAAACCCTCTATCGAGGAAAAAATAAAACAAAACTTATGTCTCTTTTGTTTGAACTATGTGATAAAGATTCAATGGCTTCTTTACATTCTTTCGTTTCCATTATCAGTAAATGTCATGTTATTTTGTCGTTGTGTTTGCGCAACTCGATAACAAATTTTGCACTATGTAGGTGACGTCTAAACGAGTAAGTTGTTAAAAATTGCAGATGTGACATGCCGATTATCCTATTCTAAATAGTATCTACATCGTAAAAAGACAGAATTGAGGTTCTTCACAATGTCCGCAAGACAAGAAAGGAGCCATCAAGAGTCTCAAAAAAGTTATCCGTATCGATCAATTTCATGAAGGAATAGATTTTTAACTTCGTCGATAAAGCTCTCACAATAGAAAGTGTTGCATTGTCAGTTAAAGAGACCAGACATATTCGGGTCAAATTAGAGCCTTTCACTGCGATATCAACAAAGGACACCGCCGGATAAAGTTGTAAATCTATCACCCGTTAGTAGGAGTGTCAGTGTTTCCGTTCCTAGGCACAGGAACACATCTCAAAATTGTGTTTTCTAGCATTTTCTCAATAGGGTGAGGTCTGTAAAGATGTTCGCTTGTCTTTTTATGTTAGCGTTTGGCATTGCTGTTACTATTAGCCGAGACTTTCTGAGGTCGTCGAGCGCAAGGTAATTTTCCAAAAATAATGATTTTGTATAAAGTTTCGCTTAAGATAATCAGGGCCGAGGAATCCAAATCTGTAATCGATTTCTCAAAATTTTTAATTTCGTTCTTTTACTCAAAAATCTATTTTTTTGAGTAAAAAAAGCGAGTTTTTATTAAAACGAAGTTTATTTTCGAAAAAACTTTTTTTATTAAAAATATATTTTTCAGTGAAAAAAATCAAAGTTAAAACTTTGAGAAGCTGATTATAGATTCGGATTCTTCGGCCCTGATTACCTTCGGTCAAATTTTATAAAAAAAAATCATAAGATTTAGAAAGTAAGTAAGGCATCCGCTCCTTGAGCCTCCCTTTGCTCAATTCTGAACCAAAGAAAAGATAGTATAGAACATTGACTTTCATGTTGCTAAATACATTTGCCAATGAAACGAAAATGAAAGCCACAAAGCTTCTTTTGTGAACATAAGCAGTAGATTGTATTGAAACCTAATATTTTTCCGACAGCTTATAACTCAGAATTCTTCTGATTCTAAAGCGCATGTATTTATAGCAATGCTGGGTCGTGTGGGTGGGGTGTGGGTGTATGGGTGTGGATGGGGGTGTGTACCTGAAAAGAAAACCAACACCCACACCCTGCCCTTTGCATATGTGAACCGAGTATTCGAATTTTAAGGCATTCATAGTGTGTTTAATGTGCCCACAATTCAAAATTTCAGAAGAATTTGATTTTCTTTTTTCATGCTGGTTGGTTTGGGCTCGCCGGGTTGCTTAAGAAAGAGCGCGTTTGAAGTTAGAAAAAAACTTCGACGAAATAAGTATAAGATATTGTTAATTTCAAATATAATGGAAAATCGACCCAAAAGTAATAATTTCGTAAAACTTTGTTTTTTGAACTTGAGACATACTTTTTTCTTATGCGACTCGACGGTTCTATCCAATCAGCATGAAAAAGAAAATTCTTCTGAAATTTTGAATTATAGGCACATTAGATACACTATAAATACCTCAAAATTTAAATGTCTCGGTTCATACACACCAGCGGCAGTGCATATCGTAAATATGTTAATTTCGCGGTGAAAGCTTTAATTTGACTCGAATGTGTCTGAGTCTTTTAACTAACAATTCAAAACCTTTCATTGTCAGAAAGAATCGTTCTAACTGTTAATATTCTGGCAGATCTGCTGATATTTCGAAAAAAATTGCGATTCGATCGTACCATTGGCACGTGGTGTCTTATGCATCGTACTTATTGAGGATACCGCACAACAGTTGTATCGATTAAACAGACACAAATGTATTGCATCGCATCATATGAAGAACTCCCGAAACCGTAGAAACGTTTCATTGGGAATTTAAAAAGAAAATTGCGCAAATTGACATGCAGCTCAAGTCTCCTTTATAAAAATATTTATTTAATGAGCGGTCAGTGCAAACAAGAATCAAGAAAGAAAAAACAGATATCTAGATTCATATAATTCAATACTAGTACTCAGTTCTGTAATCATTAGGTTGGCAAGTCGTTGCATTGATGAGTTGGCCATGTAGGCGAAAGATAGAGCTTTATTGAAATACACTCTGTGCATAGCTTCTCGCTGAATTTTCGAATTATTACGACAAAAATCGATTCATTGGGAGTATCACTCGGTACATAGATCGTTTTGAAGATTCTGATTGTTGGCCTAGATTCGTCTGGGTATTATGTCAATACAATCTGTCTAAGCTTTTCGATATTTACCTTTTTTCTGTATATGTGTTGCATCTGGTTTTCTTTGTTACATTCGCTTCTTCTCACGTGTTAATTAGATTATCTGTTCTGAACTAATGTCGTTCTCGGCTTCTGCTAGCATTCCGCGTATTCTAACTATCGGCAGCTCGTACAGTGATGGTTGTGCCGGCATCCAATTGGATATGAAGACTTTTACCTCATTATCTACATTTGGCATGTCAGGTAAGATTTGAACTGCTTTTGTTTAACTATCTCATGTTGGTTCTGTTCAGTTTCATAACTGTCAAGATTGCTTTTTTTCTAATAGTGATTACTGCCTTAGCAACTCAAAAAAATTGTGATGTGAAAGCTATGCATGTCGTACCCGATGAATTTATTTCGTCACAGTTTCATGATATGGGCAACAGCATCGGCGTTGACGCTATGAAAATTGGTATGAATCGATCTATGTTCATCATTTGATTTCAACGAAATATCTTTAGGAAAAATTTATTTCATTTCATATCATATCATTTCATCTAGGCATGCACATTTCACCTACTCTTATCGAATATGTAGTGTCTTTTATTACTGGCAAACAGGTTCCTATTGTGGTGATGGGTCCTATTATGGTCACCACTAATATGACTCCGGAAAATCTCACCAGTTTACGCACAAAACTGTTGCCTCTTGCTTCTATTATAACGCTTAC